GAGTGGCCATGAAAGGAGAACCACCCGTATGCAGTAGGATTAATCGGGTTTTTATAAACGCAAGATAGTCGGTCTCCAGGGAATTGACCAATTCACTTCCTTCTGCAGTTCGTCTAAATAGCTAAAATGTTTACCTATTAACTATTCCTAAATGGCATGGCTGATTTTAAGATTCTTAATTCTTTTAGATTAGCTTCAGTTTTTATAGTTTAAAGATAGCTTTAGTCTAACTTTATAAAACCTTTACACCTTATATTGGACCTTACCTACGTTGGTTCTGTGTTTTACACAATTGATTATTTATACACTATACTGGTTAATAACTGAAATAAATATGATACTTGTTTCTAAACTGTTTGAGTGGCTAGAAGACCAGAATGCAACATCTTTATTCCTTTGAAAAACATGTTGGCAGGACATTTGCTTAAGTAGGGATTTTGATTTCATTAGTGATCAAACATATTGAAATAAATCGATTCATGTTTCCAGTAGAAATTGAAATCTAATTGGCTCCACTACTCAACTCGCCATTCCCCAGGATCGATTATTGTTGATTTGGGAGTTTTATAATGCTAAGCACTCACTGTATCTGCTTTTCAGATTTCAAGATTTCTAGTCTTTGAAAATTGTTGGTTTCTTTCTGCAGATAAAAATTGAGAATGTTATCCTGCCTATTATTTTCCTCCTCGGAAGGCCTCTTTAAGGCAGGGCCCACAGCAGACACCAAGTAAATATTACACTGTAAAAGCAAAAACGCTGAGAGGGAATTAAAAAACAAAAAAAAAAATCTTTGTGAGCTTCGGACAGAAGAATTTCTGCCACTGCAATTTAATGTACTGAAGCAATAACGGCTAAAAGGATTTATGCGTAAAATGTAATGTATTCTTTAAAAAATAGCAGCAAAACCAGAATACTTCAAACTTACATAAGAGCATGCATGGAAAAAAAAAACACCAACCAGCAGTACCAGACATTTAAAAGACCCAAGGAAACCGGGGCAGGAGTGCTTGCAGAACTGTCATAAATCAAGCGTCTACCGGCCGCCCAGAGCAGAAGCAGCAGCACTGAACTCGGAAGGAGGAGAGCCTGTGCCGAACTGAATTCTCTAGAAACTCAGTTGTAAACTGGACGTAAACATTGTCTTGAACGCCAACCTTTAGGGAGCAGTGAAAGTTGCCTTATGCAACCCGGAAGCCTTTGCTTGTCTCCAGCCGTGGGGCCAGATTATCCCTCCAGATTATCGCCATTGGAATCCCAAGAGGTCCTGCCCAACGTGGAAGGGCCATTTCCTTGCCATCTTTGGCAGATCTGTTCTTACAATGTCTGCCAGAATTTAACATGTGCTTAACTGTGGCGGCTCCGATTGCCCAGGGAGCTCAAGCATATCATATTCAGAGGGCCAGAGTGACAGAAAAATCCAGTAGGTTGCCTGACACCTTTATTGAGATGCCCAACCTACATATCTGATTGTCATCCATTTCTGGCACTGGGGAATGCCTACCCTCCTTTAACAACTGCAACACTAGACAGACATGGCAAGTCAAACATTCAGCATATATCGATTTTCCCTGATACAGCGTTGCAATGATTAAAAAAAAAAAGGAATGGGGTTTAGCCATCGGGTTCAGCCTTTCTTGTAGTTATTAAGGAACTGGATTTCTGCCAAGAAGAGGTTGGCTCTGGGGGTCAGGGAATAGAGAGATTAAATGAAGCAGCTGGCCATAAGGACATCCTTGCAAGCTGTAGTTGCCGCTTGATAAATCAGCAAAGCAGAGTCTATACAACTGCAGAAGCTCATCTGAAAGGAATGGGCGGCCTTTAACAAACAAGCAGGTTTCTTCAGATTGTGTGATGGAATCTGCACCTGCAGGAGCAGTCTCTCTCTGTGTGTGTGTGTTGGGGTGGGCAGAGGGAGTTTTAGCAATGCAGAGCTTTCCCAGAAAGAGGCCCGGGTGAAGAGCTTCCCTAGTAGTCCTGAGCTGCACGAGAGACAGAGGAAGAGGTGCAGGGTAGCCACACCCTAGAAACGCTCAGGATCTGTCTAGTAGGTGAGAAGGCTCGGCTCCAGTGGGCCAAGATTCTGTCCGTTAGGGGTAATAAAGAAGTCAAAGGATTGGACTCAACCGGATCTCTCCATCTCATCGCTGGGCCTGACCCTGACAGGCTGCATCCACCCTAAGCTCCCTAGAGGCCCTTCCTTGGCCATGGAACTCAGCCAGGGACGGAGCCAGAGGAAAGCCAGAGGGAGCTGCAGAGGTTGCTGCCCTGTCCATCCGAAGCCCTGGTGGCCCTTGGGGGAGAGGGAGGCTGAGGCCTTGGGTTGGATCGTGCACATGTGACCCTCTCACAAAGGCCGTTATTTCCCAGGGTTTACGGAGGAGCCGAGATTCGGCTGGAAAGACATTAAATGCATCCACTCTCCAAGCCCGCCTTGCGGCACAAATACAAATTGTGAATTTCTGGTCTTCTGATTGAGACCCCGAGAGGCCAGCAGCTGCATCCACATGTGTAATTCAGAAGATTTGAGCATGAAAGTTCCATACCCCTCTTCCTTCCTTCCTTCCTTCCTTCCTTCCTTCCTTCCTTCCTTCCTTCCTTCCTTCCTTCCTTCCTTCCTTCCTTCCTTCCTTCCTTCCTTCCTTCCTGGCGCCGAGAGCGCAGGAAAGGCACAAGCTCAGCCCAGAGGTAGGCCAGGATCAATTCTATTGCACTGTCAGGGTATCGTTTGAGGAAGGCTTCCTTCCACTTCAGTCACAGCCAAAAAGGGCCCTTGTTACACAGTGTTATATCGCATTCGGTAAAACATAAAAGGATCAATTTGACACACTTTAAATATGACCATATTCTAAATCCACATAGATCCTGCCCCATTCTTCAAACTGTTTCATACCACTTTATGGGGAAAAAAATCTTCTTCGCAGCTTTGTCTAAATTACATTGAATCAAATTTTCAAATTTGCATTTAAAATCCCTAGCAAGGATTTCAACTTTTTCAGTCCAATATGTCAATTCATCAAGGTGTGCATTCTGTTAACATAGATCCTGTCTATGGTTTCCTTGCCAAGAGAGGCTGGAGAAAATAGCTGCAAACTTTCTTTCATTCCTGGTGGTCTTTAGTTTGCCTGTTCTAAAAATAAACCAGATTATTTGGGCTGCGAGTCTATAGAAGCCTAATTAAAGAATACTAATACCTTCATTTATGTAATCATCGGCTATTTATTCTTCACTTATTCTTAAGCAAAAATAAAACCAGTTTTCTTTGTTATCAGCTATAATCTAAATCAGCTTTATGTTGAGGAATATTAGTCCTTTCCCTGCAGAGACTGTTCTCCTTGAAAATATTCCTGTTAATTAATGAGATTAATGAGAGCCTGAAAGATGGCTTCTTGATTTCGTAGCTTGAGCCAGACATAATGATACAACTGGCCATATAAAAAGACATCAAATGGCAAGGAAGAGGAGGAGGAGGGCTGTCCTGTTTATTTGGAAGAGAGAGTGAGAAATGAAAAAATATATATCCAGGAAAAGACCATTGCAAATCACTGGTGGCCTTTGGGATGAGAATTTCCAGCACCAAGTGATGATGTAGTTGCAAATGGTGGTGACCTGTGACCTCCATTTATTACTTATGCTTCATACTTCCTAACTGCTCATCTTCCTCCCCACATCAGTTAGCAAAGGGAATCCTGGCAGTCCCTGTTGGCTTCATTAAGTGAGGACCACACTCGCCATTTAGTGAGGATCTCTTGTGGCTGTGACATGCAAAGAGACCCTGAAACTGTACCCAAGCAACCAGGCGAAGGCTATGCCCTATAGGCAGGTGCCGTGGGCAGATAGTAGGAAATGTGGACAGGTGAGCAGTGTGGAGTACTGGCAGGCAGGTAGGTGCCGGGGGGGGGGGGGCGGTGTCTTCACACATCCCAGGAGAAACGGTGCCTGGGGGTGGGGAGAAGAGCGATGTGCAGGAACGACTCGCAACTTCCTGGCAGTTCCCCTATTGACTTGGCTCGTGGGAAGCTCCCAAACGGCAGTCAGGTGACTGTGTTGTAATTGCAAATCGGTTGCCAAGAGCACCTGAATTGCAACCATGTGATGGTGGGGATGCTGAGCTGTACAACTCTGAGGGTGGATTGTAAATCCCCCCGGCCGCCATTCAGCCTTGCATTGTCCTGGGTGACTGTGGAATAAGCATTTGCAGTGTGAGGACTGTGAGGCCTGAATTTTTATACTGTTGTCAAGAAAATGGCAAAGGTGTGCCCTGCAGGACACCAGAGATTTGAAAAAGATTTTAACTTCTATTGTCTATATTACAATGTCTCCTTTTGTTTTCAAAGATTAAATTTTATATTGTCAGCTTTAAACGTGGAAGAGAACTCAAAGCTGAAATAAAACAAGTGAATGGTTATTGAGGATTATACTTCATTGGCACCTCTGTGGAGATGCACGCAAGGAATTAGAGCAGAACTCAACCTAGAAGTCAGCCAATCTCACCTTTCTTTTGCAAAATTTGTACACTGACTTTGACTGAATTGCCACCCCCCACCCCCCACCCCATCAGAAGTGCTCTCACTGCTCAAAGTCAGAGGTGTTTTTCGTTCGGAGGCAGACTATCCCCATGAAAACCATGACAAAAAGAAATACCTCAAGAACTAACCAGTGTGGTAAATATGCAAAGAAAGTACACATTTAACGCGCAGTTAAAACCAACACGCATGAAATGAAGGTGCTTAATCTAGGAAGATATATCATAGACTATAAACTGTGATTATATATAAAGCACCAGCATTTTATTCCAGGGCAATGGATTTCTTAAAACTTGCTCCATTGTTCAAATACAAGAGTAGTAAAGGGGATGAAGCTTTTAACCAAGCCACCCGAGTCTCGCCTTTCTCAGACTAGGAAGGGGTCAAACAACCGATATGCAAGGACGGGGGGGGGGGGGGGGGGAGGATCAACGGACCACCACCACACTGCAGGAGAACAGAGCTGCGCCTACCTACCTCTGTGATGTGGGGTGTTGGATTAAATCCACAGAGGCTGCACACCACAGTCCTGCACTCTGTGCACCTGTTGTAATTTGGAGGGTCTGCAGACCCCACATTCAGCCCAGTTTTGCAGAGAGGACACAGGGAGGCCGGCGGGGGCCCTTGGGGTGCTTCTGGTGGCCCCGGCCTCTTTTCTCTGCCAGCTCCACCAGGCGCCTGGGAGGAGACCTGGGCAGGCAACGGCTTCCTCTGGGCCTCCGCCTGGCCGGCTTCCTTTTCTGCCACAGGAGGCTTTGCTTCCTTCTTTGCAGGCGCCGCCTTCGGAGATGGGGGAGGGGGGCCTTTTTTCAAGGCAGGGGGAGGGGCCTGCTTGGAGGGGGTCGAAGGGGCAGGTCCGGGTGCCTGAGCTCCTGGCTGGCCTGCCGGGGTGATCAAATTGGAAGCCTGGCTGAAAATCGAAGCCCCGAATCCAAACAGCTTCCCAGTCACCGTTTCCGGAGGGGCTGCGGGAAGCGACTTGGGAGCATCGCCGCCTCCTCCTGCGGGAAGAAGGCCGAAACGCTTGGCTTGCTCCGGTGCTTTCGGAGGCAGTTGGGCCTGGACCTGAGGTCGGGCTTGGCTGGGCTTCGCGCCCACAGAGGCTTGTGGCCCTTTTGGAGTCGGCTTGGCATCTGGTTTGGGATTCACCTGGGGCTGGATTTTCATGGAAGGCTCTCTGACTCCTGCTGCTCCAGCTTCCTTTTGGACGTTCGCATTTAAATCGGCCCCAAGCGGAGAACTGAGTTTTGTTTCAGGCTTTTGAGAAGACCCTTGAGCTAAAGTTCTGCAGTCTGGGGCGGCCATTTGATCCACGGGCGACTGTTGGTCCTGGGGCAGCCGGTCGTCTTCTGACCTCGGAAGGGGCTCCGCTTTGGGTTCAGTGAGTAAAGGCCGGGTGCCCTTTGGTTTGGGGTCCAGTTGTGAAGGTTTCGTTGTGGCCTTGCTTGGGCCTTTCTGAAGAGCAGGTTGCTTCTGTTTATCCTCGCTTCCTGACAGCTTGGCCTGGCTGGGCTTCAGGGTGGATCCTGCCAGCTTGGGTTCAGCAGGAAGAGCCTCTGGTTTTGTAGGAGAAGGCCTGGGCAGAGCAGGCTGCTTTGCTTGCGCTGGGGGCTGTTTCTGCTCCAAGGACCTGGTCGCTTCGTGTTTTAGAGCCGTTTCTTTCTTCTTCGTTGCTGGCTGCGGTTGGGAAGCTGCTTTGGCTGGAGTTTCTTGCTTGGGTCCTGAAGGTCCAGAGCTGTGAGCAGGAGCTAAGTCCCCCCCTAAAGCTCTTTGCATCTGGCAGGTTAAACACAACCATTCTTTAACCTGTATGCATAATTAAAAAAACAAAAAAGACATCAAAACAGAATTATATCCTTGATACCAAAAGATTCACTTTACATTATTTGGAAGGGTTCACAGGGGTTTTTCTTTGCTTTCTTACTACTTTTTAGTTTCCCTTCTTAAATTTCCAGCTCCATTTCAATAAAAGAGTTTGCTCACAACAAATCCTTTGACTCAGCTACTTTATGATATCTTACCATTTCTGATCTGTTTTCTAAATCACGTCTTTAAAACCACCAAAACTACATTTAAATTATTACCTTGTTATATTTGTGCTGGTTGATTGCAAACACATGGTCTGTATTAACTTATTTTTGGTGGAGACAGAATCATTTGGAATCATTTTTTAGGTAAAAGTGGTTTGAAGAAAACGTTTTATTGTTATGATTGGAAAATAATAACAACCTTTCAATTCCGCTGTTGGTGTACCATCCATAGTTGGAGTCAAGGCTTTTAAGGTTATTATGAGATTTAAGATGGCTTCACCTGCTTTTGAGTTCCTCTGGCCAGAGAAGTTCCTAAGGGGACAACGTGGCTGGCAAGCGGGGACTCAGAGGAAGGGCTACGCAAAGGCAGAAGGAACTCTGGCTGAAGGGAAACAGGATATTTAAACAACTGCCACGTAAAGGGAAGAGTCGATTTGCTTCGACTAAAGAGGCTCATTGAGATGCGTTGAAACGAAGGGGCAGTGCATGCAAACAGAAATTAGGAGGCAATTTCTGACTTTATGCACCGTCAACCAGGTGGCCTCAAGAAAGACTGAATAGCAATCTGTCTGAAATGCTTTAGCATCGTAAATCAGTGGGTTGGACTTCCAGTTATACTTTTACTTTTATTTTTATTAATGCTTCTGATCATGTAATAATGTTAATTTTCTTTATTAGAGACCACTGGAGTACAGAAATGTATGTAACAAATGAGAAACGGATTCAGTTCCCATTGTTAGGTACCATGTTTATCACAAAACACTGGAAAATTGTATCCATTGTACTTTCAATAGATCCCTAGGTTCTTGAATCCCTAGCAAAGAATTTCAAAGAAAAAAAACTATATTTAGAGATAAATATATTGAAACTTTGTCATAATTTCTTAGCTATATTAACCATATTTTATCAAAAAGATTTCAAACCAAAAATACCAAATACGATTATTTATAATTTTTCTGTTTCTGATTAAGTATTCACATATGTATTCATGCACGCATAGATTTGCGGATATCCATTAATCTTTCACTCTGACTGGGCAGATAGATAGAAGCATGACAGAAATTTTATAAATATATTTAACAATAAACAAAGAGCAGAAAGGTGAAGTCCAAAGCAGTTTCTTGAATTATTTATTTGCATGCACAACTCTAGATAGGCCTCAACTCAATGCCAGGACCTATTATCTCTTTACCTCCACAGTTAATACCCTGTGTATACAAGATCCATGGGATCTAGAGCTCCCACAGACCAGCAGTTTCCTAGTAATTATTCATTCAAGATAAATGATGTAACTAGATTATATTCATCCGGTTTGGCATTTCCACAACCCTTCAAAGGGCAGGTGGAGATTGGCAGGCAGAGGGAGAAATCGGATGTGGTTATCCTTTTTAGATGTGAGAGTGAAGATAAATGAATCCGGCGTAGGTCAGCAGTAGCCTTGCGAAGCTTGTAATGTTTACTTAGGCAGTGGGATATTCAGCACTCAGAAGAATCTGTCTGCAATTGGAGAATCCCTAAGTTTTCGGTTCATTAGGTAGAGCTTTGTAGTTACAGCATTCCAAGAAACCCCCGTGGACGAAATTAGGCCTTGATACCACAGTTGTTTATAGCAATTCAGCCTAGCCAAGGAGACCTGCCTTATACTATTTAAAATGTTACCCTTTTGCAACGTTACTTAATTTATACATTTCACGTGGCAGCATGCTCTACTGGCTAAGGGGGCAGAAATGTCCACATCAAGTAGCTTTTCCATATTACTCACTCACTGAAACTTAAGCTAGACGCAATGCTTCATTTTTTGAAGCCCTGCAGCATCTGTTTCTGATTTTTAAATGAACTTGTAAGAAAGTTAGTAGTTTAATACGCATTAGAAACTTGTAAGTAAAGCAGGATTGATTCAAGATTTGGGACATCAGCATCATAGAAAAATCCCGCTAAACTCTTCACTTTTGGCATATAATTTCTTTCAAATACTTCTGTAGGAGAACTGAAGAGTTCAAATTCTAAAGATTATTGAAGCAAAATGCATTATCGTAACATTGTTTATACGCATAAGCACCGTGTGGCCCTAATATACATCATATATAATAGACATCAGTTGAAGTATTTTATGTATGTATGAGGCTAGCTGAACTCCCATTAGGCTACCTACCACAACAGGTAAGTGCTTGAACAGGTTCTAACCAAGAAAGCATCACTTCTCGTCTCTTCTTGTCACCTGAGTGTATTACCCTCTTGCAGGTAGAAGATTGGGGGGGGGGGAAACTAATCAGAGTATGTACCAAATATAGTGCCAAAGGACATTTATCTTCTGTACTGTCAGATTAAAGTATACTATTATGGCCTTCTGAGAGAGGATTAGCCTGTCTGACCTAAAATGGAATCAGCCACACTTCCTGCCAGTGTTTTCCGTAGAAAACATCTCAAATCATGTGACTCTGTTACACCAGCAAATCGTGGTTGCCAGGCAACATTAATGCGGGTGCCGATGAAGATCTGAATTTGCTATCTTTAGGGATGCAGATCTGAGGTGCAATTTGCTTGGGTGAAGAAAACTGATGAGAACGTTTGATAGCGATGATACAAATACACAGAGATCCTTTAAGAGATTTGTTTGAAATAATGAACTGATCAAACAGAAATAAAAATGGTTTGAGATGTGAGACTCTTGGCAAGAGATTGGCTGCCCCTAACGAAATCTGGGAAAGATGTGTTTGTAAGGGGTTGGTTTTAAGAGCTTTAATTTGGAGGCTGCGCAAGAAGGGCAAGAGAGCCCAAGAAACGGTGAACCACCAATGAGTCTTAGAAAGGGACTTGGAGGCCCATTTGGGATGAGAAGGAATCCCACAATGATCAAGGAAATGCAGGAAAGGATGGGCCATCCGAGACGGCCACGGGTTCCGCTGCCTCTACAGAACCGCTCCGCATAGCCAGAACAAACAGCTAGAAGACTCAGTAATGGAAGACAGGATTTCTTTCATAGACATTACCAAAACCTGTTCAGGTGAAACTCATGGATAGAACGCAGGGATTCAAGGATGCCCTTAATTCAAAAGGAAGAGGCCAGCCAAAATGGGGTACGCAGCAGCCGCAGGTTGATAAGACTAGGTCTTCGCCAGAGTTGAGTGCAGGAGACGTATTGCACGGCAGACCAGAGAAATTAGCGAGAGGACAACTGTTGTGAGGAAGAGCAAAATGCTGACAAGGGCTAGGAGTGTTTTGTTGGATCTGTGTATTTTTGGTGTTATAGTTAAATGTTACGTTCAGATAAAGAGATATTACTGACAAATAGATTTCCTTTTAAATTATCTTCTGTTTTAAATGCATGACTCATTAAAGTACTTTTTGCTAACACATTAGTCAAAATTTTACTTATATGCAGGTAGATGAACAGATAAATTTTCTTTTACAAAGATAATCCTCCTGCAGGGCTCTATGGACATATTACATGCAAACACCTAGTATGAACCTTGAAAGAAAGAAGTATCTGATGTATAAACAACTCAACAAACTTGGGCATGGATATACAAAGGTAGTACTTGAACTGTGTAAAATTAAGAGTGGGGAAAAAGTAGAGCCAGATAACAGGACCTTATCCAACTTTACAGAAAAATGCACAGTATATCCAAAAAAAATTGGAAGAGATCCCCAAACAATACAGCTAGAAAATGTTGAATTTAATATTACTTCCACCCTAGAAAAAAAGCCAGATTGTTTATCCCCTCCTATTACAGTTTAATACCTGACAGGTTTTTTTTAGAATTTCAGGTTTCATTTCTGGAAACCACTGTGATGACCTTGAGCAAGCCGCATCAATGACAGGCCATCGTGATTTTTAAGGAAACATAATGGTATCTCAAAATTCTACTAAAATTAAAGTTTAAAATTGTATGGGCAAGGAAAAATAGGGACTGTTATAAGATTATATTTAAATTTTGTAAGTGCCTATATGTACATGAAATATATATTTGCTTCAAAATGCTGGTTGTCACCTTTAAAGCACTCCATGGCTTGGGATCAGGTTGTCTGAGGGACCGTCTCTTGCCGGTCACATCTACCCAACCCACCAGAGCGGGGAGGCAAGGAATGTTGCAGGTCTCATCCCCTCATCCCTGGTGGGACCCAGAAGAAGGGCCTTCTCCGTGGTGGCTCCCTCTCTCTGGAATATCATCCCCCCAGAGATTAGAATGCCTCCCCTCTAGCATTCTTCCGGAAGGCGCTGAAGACCTGGTTCTGCCAGTGGGTCTGGGGAACCCAGAGCAGGATGGAGCCCATCAAAGGGCAAGTTTGAATGTGTGTTTTCACTGAGGAGGGTAGGTGGGGTTATTATTTTTATTTCTTTTACATGGTGTTTTATATTCTTGTAAGTCTCCTTGTGTCATCATGTGCAAGTAGGTGGCAATATACATTTTCTATATATATATTCTATATTCTATATTCTATATTCTATATTCTATATTCTATAT